GATAATTTTAAAATTTAATATGTACTACAAGACAATGATGAAATGATTAATTAATTAAGTGGCTCATCGAGTACAATGAAATTTAATAAGCGATTCTATTTAATTTAAGGTAATAAAAAGCTTTTCCAAAGCACCAAAAGCTGTAAAACTGATTGTTTATACGCGTTTTACAAGCGAAAGGAAAGGTAAAAATCTAAATTTTTAAGGTAAGTATACCTCGAAAGAAAAAAAAAAAAAATTGTCCGATTCCAAGGCATAAAAAATACCATGTATTAAATTTTCTTTTTCCTTTTTTTTTTCACAGAGTGGCTCGTGTATTGTATTACTATTACAAAATCGAGCACTCGATCGAAATGGACCCGGAAAAACCAAGTGGATCCTGTACCACTGTGTAAGCATGACAGATTGTGACGTGAAAATGAAAAAAATCACCTGCAAGTAGCGCGTCGCGATCGACTCTCTCCCGCCATCAAAGTGATCCTCCTTTTACGAGGCGATTTATAAATCGTACGAAAAGAGTGTATTTTTTTAAATTCCCCGTAAATTCGAGAACAAACAACAACAAAAAACAATGACCACGGCAAAACGAGGTTCTGCGTGTGTAAATCTGGATGCTGGACAACGAGCACACGCGCATACCGATAAGATCGGCCGGTCCAAAAATATCCCGGGCTATAGTTAAAAAGAGCGTCCGCGACGGGTAAACAACTGCGGTGGCTACTCCCTCCCTCAGCAATAATCAGTCACAGCGGAGCTCGAAAGGAGAGAACCCGTTCAACGCGACATACGTATGCGAGCACATTATCCAGGACGAGCAATGATAAGGGACCGAAAAAATATATATATGTATAGGTACCAGCCTCGAAAAGATTGTGGAAGTATACGAACGAAAAAAAAAATGTATGCATCGACTCCAGGTCGATGGAACGCGCGGCGAGTGGGGAGACACATATACACAGCGGAGGCGGGACAAGGGCGGGCGACTCGCGCTCCGGCGACGTAACGGCGCGCTCTCCAGCTCGGCAGTGTCGGCTCGGCTGCTGGAACCCGCGCTCAAAAGTACACTCGTATACACGCGGTAAGTGGGCGCGTACGAGTATTATACATAAAATCGGTTTGGTGCGCGATCGCGCGTATGATCGATCGTTCCATGTGAGGTGTGCGTATCGAGTGCGTCCGATCCCAGCGAGCCGGAGATATACACCCGTAGGACGATGTCGGGCCCCCAAGGACGAGGGGCTCTGTGGCTCCTCCTCGCGCTTGCCCTACTCTCTGCAGGCACGTAACCGTCACATTGTAGCCTTCAGTCAACAATTCAACCTATTACCTCTATATGTATACGCCCCGTACCGTCACACCTGTTGGAAGCTCACGTGTATACATGTTACGTAGCCGTCGCACCGATCTCTGTTGTAATCGCGATCCACATCGGCAGCCGACTTTCCTCTTTCTCTCCTCTGTCGCTATATACTTATATATCTTTTCACGCGTACGGTATAGGTAAGTGAGTGTACATTCTCGGGCACGTCTATGGGAACCGATGATGTCACGTTTTATTTTGTCCGAGAAACCGGTCGAGCGGCCGGACGGGTCGTCAATGAGTCGCGAAACGAGTATACAGGTATACTCAATTGTCATCCTTTCAACGTCATCTTGCGCAAAAATTTGGTAGAAACGTTTCATCGCCAATTGAAATTTGCGCGTGTACTCCTGTACTAAATGAGTTATTTGCAAAAGCATACGGATCGCATAATTATTTGGACACGTAAATCGTATACGCGCGTATGGTGTATCCAGCCTTGAAATCGACTTTCCAATGTATACCTACGTAACATGAGAGAGCAACTCATTCACGGTCCTATCCTCTGCAGCGTATACGTTCGCGAGCTGTGCGACACACCTTTATCTTAATCATCATCGTCGTCACGATCTTTGTATTACAATATACACATCCGATGCTCATTGTAAAAGCCACGTTTTTTCATGCCTAAGATGTACAGCTACGTTTGCTACTTTGTTTATTTTTAATATTAAAGTTCTTTGAACTATATTTGATTGGTTAATTATTTTACCTCGAGTTTAAAAGCATTTGCTTCCATCGTAAGATGTTCTTTAAATTCACGGGATAGAAGTAGCTTTTGATGGAATTTTTTTCAATTATTGTCAAATGGTGCTGACAGATGGTGGTAATACTTTTCACGTGTTAATATTGCATTGAAATTTGGGAAGCATACGTCGTTAATCGTATTTTCGTGACATGTCTCGAGGAAGTACAAAAACTTTCTTTTTGCAATTCTGCGCGTACTATATTTATATAGAACATTTTTGGTCTAAAAAAAAAAAAAAAAAAAAAAAAAAAAAAAAAAAAAAAAAAAAANAAAAAAAAACTAAAGTCACATATCAATCAGTATCGAAAATAACTTACCGATTGACATTTATGTTTGCATAATATATATGTATACTATACACATTTTTTTTTTTATATTATAGTGCTCTACGTCCGGCTCCTTTGATAAGGGCACTACTATGGGCACTTAGCACTTGAGAAAAGGACAAGGAAAGGGATGGGAGGTCTCCCATTATTGGGAGGGGGTAGGGGGAAATAAGGCAATTTTTGCTGCGAGGAGGTCGCCTAAACCCTCCTCGAGGAGCATTGCGTGGTGAAAAAGCACATGTGAACAATCACAGAGGTACTTGCCCGAATAAGTCGCACTGGCCGGGAATCGAACCACGGTCTCCCGCGTACCAATCCACGACCTAGCCGACCGAGCCACCGCGCACTCTATACTATACACATGTACTAGCAAAATTTTTTGTCATATTATATACACAAATACGTAATTCATGGATATGTGCACGTGATAATACAAAATTACTTTGTATAACACTTGAGATGAGTTTTCGGGATTCATACACCTGATGATGCACACGTATAATATGATGTGTATAGGTTCATGTGATCTGAGTGACGTACGCTGTACACAACGTAGTGGATTCCTGACAGATTTATCGTATGGGAAAACCCTTACCTGTAATGTATTCCAAATTTATTTAGTTCAAACGTTTAAATTGCAATTTCGCATCAAAAGAATTTTGACCAAAAAACGATGTATTCAAATAATTCATTACTATGACAAATTTTTGTAAACACACCATTAATCTTCATGAAAATGTTTTCCCAAGTAAACTTGAAAATGAAAACAAGTCGCACTACGTATCTAAAAATTCACTAAAATCAGCGTATAAAAAAAAAGACGATGCATTCCTCATCGGAAGAATTTTTTTGCGAGTATTAAATAAAACTGAAAAGAAAGAAGTTGCAGGAAGTGAAAGTTAATAAAAAAATGTATGAACCCATCTGTGAAAGCCTACGAAATAAAATTAAAAAAATTTCTCCCAAATAAGTAGTTTTGACGTCAATGACTAATTGGCTGCCACCGCAGCTTCTCTCTCTGCGCTCAATTATCACCATCTGCTGGCTTTGATCCTTTTCTCGATCAACAAACGAGTTCAAAGAAAATTTCCACAAATGCCCCAACTTCCGGCTGCTTGGTCACATAAAACAAACAACACCTTGAAATTCAAAATTGTATTTTAATAAGCAAAACATACTGGCCGCATTTAGTATCATCATCATTGTATGTAGTACGCAGTGGCTGTACAGCATCTGAAAGAGCACATATGCATTATATATATATATCCATACATTTGCCTTGATAATGAACACGCTTTATCACAAAAGGGAAGAAAGACTTCCTCTGAAGCTACCACTGCTCCAATGCGCACAATATGTACACACCTAGTGGAAATCCATTGGAAAATATTGTAATACACGAATTACCGGTTTTACCATTTGTTTTTACAAAAACTCGCTCGTAAAATTCCACGATCACAACTGAGCTGGGAACTCATCTATTTCCCAATGTTGCGGCTAGGAATGTATATATTTTGTTATCGCCCGCGACACACGTCGTACACTCCCATTTCCTGATCCTCCTACTTGGGCCCATGCGTATTTTTTCCTCCACAAAACTATACTAGACCTTATCGATCCACCAACTTGTTGCTCACACCACGAATTTTTCATGGAAACGACAGGGTGTCTGGGACACAAGCCCCAGCTTCAACCGAACGTCAAGGAGCTCGAGATAAACGAGGGAGAGGCTCTGGAAATCACCTGCACGAGCTTTGGCGATGTTAACTTTTACTACCCGGAAGACGACAAGGACGACAATGTGAGTTTAATGGCAAATTAGAAAAAATAAAAAAAATTAAAAATTAATCGTTAAAACGATTTTTTCCGTGTCACTCGATGAAAAGATAACCACGTCGGAGCACAAAATTTCGAGGTATAAGAGCGACGATAGCGTGGAAATAAAGTTTCAAAGGCGATCGACCGTCTTTGGCGACACCGGTTGGTACGGCTGCGCCAATGTCGACGGTAACGTAACGAGCAAAGACTACGACGATCCAAATGCCAGTTGGACCTACGTTTACGTAAACTGTGAGACAAAAATATGTACCACGTTTATCTTCGATAATAATCACATATGTATCACGTATAACGCCTTACACATTCATTTCCGGCGCAGCCAATGAAAGCGCGTTCATTCAAATTTTCGACGGCTACGTGATACGTTACGCGCACGTCGGGAACCGGGCCATTCTGCCGTGCCGTCCAACTTCTCCTAGATTCCACGTGAATCTCAAGGCTTTCAACAAAGTAATGTGCATACGATTTCTTTACTATACACTCATTGAAAAATGGCAAAATAATGGCACCCTATGATTTTCCGTCGCCTTAGAACCTCAAGCCAAGCGAAAGGATAACTTTCGATCCGAAAATTGGTTTCGTCATTGAAAACACCACAATCCTGGACAGTGATTACTACACCTGTGAAACCGATGAGGACGTTTCATCGCAAGTGATATACATTTACCTTTTGATCATAAATAAGGATTCGCTGAAAAAGCCAATTATCAAGACTGACGGTCTCGAGCACGTCACCGCTGGTTCGACCCTGTCAGTCAAGTGCGTCGTTGAGATGGGAATAGAAAACCCCTACAGCATATCTTGGAAGACACCACGAAATTCCGTATGTTATTGAATATATTTATTTCCTTATGCATCATTACGACTATCTGTTATTCTCGTGATCGACTTGTTTGCTTATCCGTTTGCGTGTGCCATTATTGTAGACTTCCAGGATCATTTTAGATCCGGTTCACGAAGAAAAAGGTGGCGTTAGATTGGTCACTTCTGAACTAATCGAGAACAACGTAACTTACGACGACGAGGGTGAATACACTTGCCAAGTGAAGGCACCCTTGGAAATCACGAGTACCAATGTCTACATTAAAATACACGGTATAGTGAATATCACGCGACCCCTACGTTTTAATACCAAACCCTTCATTTTCATGGTATATGATATCCTTTTTTTACAGATCCTTATAATACGTACATAAATTTAACGTCCGACGAGGAGAACAGACACTATATAGTACACGCCGACAATTCGGTAACTTTTTCAGCCCACGTCAATGCGTACCCAACGCCAACGCTCACGTGGTAATTTATTTATTTTGTTTGCAAAGACAACTATTGTGTTGTGTGAAATTAAAAAAGAAAAATGAAAATCTGCAGGCTCGGCACCAATGGTAAGAAAATTTCATCGGGAAACAAATTTACGGTGACAAATGTCCCACCGGCGACTAGTTTGACGATACATAGCGTTCAGATCCAAGATATGGGGATTTACACCCTTCAAGCGAACAATGACGTCGAAGTAAAACACTTGAATTTTAGTCTCGAAGTTCACGGTACTTGTACAACACCATCTTTCGTTGAATTACTTTGATACTTTCCTTTGTACGGCTTATTAATAATTTCAGCTAAGCCGTGGGCTCTGCTAGATACGGCTGAAATCAAGTCTTTTTACGGCTTCGGCGAGAATGCAACATTTGTTTGTCAAGCACTTGGTTATCCCATGTCCAACATATCGTGGTTTTTCACGAGTTGCCCGAAATTTCAATCCGAAGACGACTGCGAGAAATCCGAGCTCAAGGTTGGCTTTGATTATCTTCGCTTTTCATGTATAATCTTTATCCATGATTGTATGCGTTATAATTAAAATTTTATTGTCTAAGGGTACGGAAACAATTGGGCAGAGTAACACAACAGTTAACTCAAAAGTAACGACAAACTTGAAAACCTTTGGCAGAATAAACTGCACCGCTTGCAATGTATACGCCTGCGATTCCGTGGAACAAAATGTATTTATTACCGGTACGTACACTCATATATTACATTGTTTGATCAAATATCGATTTCTGAGCTTAAAAAAATTGTTTTTTCAAGACGGAGTACCCGACGCCTCCTTTGGGATCATAGAGCCGGAAGGAAAATTGACCGTAGGCGACAACGTTACTCTAGTATGCGCTGCTGTGAATTACAACTTTTCTTCGGTAATGTGGTTGTCCGATCAAGGAGAATTGGTTGCGAATTCCGGTTCGTTCTAAAATACCCTTATACTTTGGAAAATCATAGTCTGCTCAAATTTCATCTTTTCATCGAATTTCAGAAAGAATAAACGTTACCTCGGAAGATACCAAATTCACTCACCGCTCTGTTCTCACCATCAGAAACGTGCAGCCATCCGATCAATTGGACTATTATTGCGAAGCGACGGATTTCGATTACCAAACCAATAAAATATCTTACTTCCTTGCCCTCGAAGGTAGTCATGAGAATTATAATTTTTTTAATTTTTTACTGCTCGTATTTTTAATGCAGTTTAACATGATTTTATTCGTGTTTTCGTTGGCAGATCCAAAAGAGCCATACTTTATCAATGTCAATATGAACGACACCGAAGTAACTCTGTCATCGAGAGAAGCTCACAATTCGATTTATTTACTGTGTTACGTCGGAGGAATGCCAAAACCCAATGTGTCGTGGTATAAGAATGACGCGCCTTTGGAACTGTCGGAACAACAGTACAACCTTGTGTCCGATAACCAGGAATTGATAATAAAATACATGTTGGAAAGCGACAGCGGAAAATACGCGTGTGTTGCCCGAAATCGTTTTGGATCGGTTCAAAGATCCCAAAAATTCATCGTTAAAGGTACAGCAAAACATTTGCACAATGTCAAAAACTGTTGTTTCAATTAATCAGGCCAAAAGTGTCGTATTTTATTGAAATGTTCGTCTCGATTTTAGGGGTTGAAAAGCCATGGCTTTGGATCGGAATGATAGTTTGCTTGATCATTGTTCTCACTGTTCTTTTGATTTACTTTTGCCTAAAAGTACGGCATGAAAAGGTAGGGAAAAAAAAACAAATTCTTAAAATTAATAGAAATTAATGTTAAATCGTCATTCTATGATAATTTGAAGTTGATGAGAAAGCAACTGTTGGAAGCTGGTCTGACGTACTTCGAGGAAGGAGCGCTCGACTGCATAAATCCGGAGCTAATGGTGGACGACCAAGCGGAACTCCTTCCGTATGACAGAAAGTGGGAATTTCCGAGGGAAAAAGTAAAGTTAGGTACTTACAAATTTTCCAAGTTCTCCCGAATGAAAAAAAATGACCAGTTTTCGTAATAACTCGTGATATTTCTCATTAAAGGAAAACAACTGGGAAGTGGTGCCTTTGGGGTGGTCATGAAGGCAGAAGCATATGGGATCATCGCTGACGAGCCCGTTACGACCGTGGCCGTGAAAATGGTCCGAAAAAGTGCAGAACCAGTTTACATTCGTGCTCTGGCGAGTGAGTTAAAAATTATGGTGCATCTGGGAAAGCACCTGAATGTTGTGAATCTTCTTGGCGCCTGTACCAAAAATATTGCCAAACGTAAGTATTTTCGCACCATCGTTTTGATGACTTTTGTTTGAAAAATATTATTTAAACCTTTTTTTTAGGTGAACTTTTGGTTATCGTTGAATTCTGTAGATTTGGAAATCTGCAAAACTATCTGCTGCGTCACCGAGAAAATTTCATCGATCAAATCGACCCGTCGACCGGTAAAATTGATCCATCCATTGGAAAGGAATCAAAGAGGTATCGATTTGACGAATTCGTTTGATAAAATTTCTCTGACTTTTTACAAGATTACTGACTCATTTGAAAGCTAAACGAGTTAATTAATAAATCATTGACTAATATAACAATTAATCGACATGTAATGAGAAATCGGTAAAAATGACGTTAAACTTTTTCAATCGTTCATGATTGTTTCCTGCCAACAGAATAAAACATCCAACATCGACGTTTCCCAACCAATTGAGCACTGCCTCGAGCAATAGCGAACCAAGTGGGGAGTCGGTCGTCTACTGCGCTGATACTCAGAATATCAGTGGCCCGATGAGACTTAACGTTGGTTTCGAGCACAGCGACTCCCAGCCGGGATGGCGCTCAAACTACGAGGGCGATTACAAAGAGAAGAATCTCGAGCCCATCTGCTCGCAGGACCTTCTCTCGTGGGCCTTCCAAGTGGCCCGTGGCATGGAATATCTCTCCCGAAGGAAGGTTTTGCACGGCGATTTGGCTGCGAGGAACATCTTACTCGCGGAGAACAACGTCGTCAAAATCTGCGACTTTGGCTTAGCCAAGACAATGTACAAGGACGACAATTACAAGAAGCAGGGCAACGGCCCGGTGCCGGTCAAATGGATGGCCATCGAGTCGATCAGGGACCAGGTCTTTTCGACAAAGTCAGACATCTGGTCCTTTGGTATAGTTCTCTGGGAATTCTTCACTCTGGCAGAGATCCCGTACCCTGGCATGGAAGTCGAGAAGCAGTACCAAAAACTCGTCGAGGGCTACAGAATGGAGCAGCCCGCTTATGCCACCAAAGACATGTGAGAAGCTATCCCCTTTCCCTCTTTTTTTCTTTTTTCATCGAAAATTACACTTGTTATTCTTCCATTTCAGCTACGACATCATGCTCCGATGTTGGAAGGCCAAGCCAAGTCTGAGGCCGTCGTTCACAGAACTAGTCGAGAGCATCGGCGACTTACTGGAGGATGGCGTCAAAATGCACTACGTGGAACTGAACTACATGTACGAAAGCATGAACAAAGCCAGCAACTTGGAGGGCAAGAATGACTACCTGTCGATGATGCTGTCACCGGATCACGTGGAGTACGTCCCAGCTCGGCACGACTACATGAACGGCTCGCCTCGAGCCGCGGATCCAGCCTACTTGACCGTGATCGGCGACAGTCCCAGGAATGTTCACTCCGAAGGCGAGGACACGCCGATGCTGACAAAAATCAAGACGGAGCCTGAACAGGACGAAGATAATTACTTGAAGCCAATCGACATAAACAAGAAACGGGAGGAATTTATGAAGCAGCGCGAGGCCGAAAGGAAAAAGGATAGGGAAAGCGGTGACGTGTCACTGTCGACCGACAGGGACTCGGGCTACTGCAACGCTCCGAAAAACATGGAAGTGAACGACAATTTGCGGGCCGAAGGGAAAAACAAAGGGGTTGACGACACGGACAAGCCGACCATCGTCATACCGATAAAAGACAATTACGTTAATATTCATCAGCGGGAAACCGAGAGAAGTAAATACCGCTCAGCGCTGGACACGTTTATGAATCCAAGCTATTTGTTTGTCGAATCTGCTAATTTAAACTCCACGGATGTTCCTTGGAAGAAGAATAACCCATAGAGGAGCCCCTTTTAATTTGCTGCAAGTACGACATACATATCTGTAAAAATTTACAGCACTGTAAGTCCGTATAAAGACGCGAACAAGTATTTTTCTACTATTTTTTACGTTGAACCATGACTATCGATAAAACTGTGTTTGTTGAAAAACTCTCGCACAAGTTCTTACGCCTAGATGTATGTGTGTATAGGTAATAGTGTTTGGAGCCGTGAGAACTGTTAATTCAGTGTTGAAAGATCCTATTATACAATCAAATTGTTTTTATACTTACATGTGTAATTATAATCAACGTAATTGTATATCCGCGATTTAAGTTATTTTTGTGCGATTATAATGAATTTTAGTGTTTCAGTACATTGAGAGAGCGCTATTACATACTGAAAATGTTAATCATTGAAGTTTACGACAGCGCCATTATCATAATGTTATTTGTTTGCGGTTAAATGTATCAGTTGGTGTGTGTGTGTCTGTGCATGTGTGTGTGAGTGTAAAAAAAATTTTTTACCAAAAAATGTTTATGTTTGAGTATTTAAACTTATTACATATAGGTAATAATGATTAAAAACAAACAACGACAATCTACTTTTTACAAATCACTGTTGTGTACGTACTTAACACAGATAAATGCGTTTCAAAATTAGAATTTTTTTTAATGTGTAGGTAATGTAAGTATATGTATATAATACTGAGAATTAAAGTTTTTTTATGTACAAATTTTTAAGCCATTCGTTTTACTTGCCACTGAAACCATCACCTTATTTGGAAAATTCTGTAAGTGAAACAAAGTACATGATATTCTGAAAATAAAAAAACTTTTAATTTATTTACTATGGAGTTCTTACCAATTAAATTTTTTCCATAATTTAGTCACTATCAATATTTTCATTTATTCTAATTGAATACGGTACATCGTAATATTTCGTATCGTTGGGTAAATTGCGCTTCTCTTTCCTAAGCTTTTGAACATAATTTTTCTTATACTCGGTCCACCTGAAACATTTTTCATAGATCATGAGATGAATTTCTAAATTAAACAAACATCATTGTTATTATCAGTATACCTTTTATGATTCGTGAATTTATGAAATAATTCTTGATGGCTGGGATACTTGAAATTCAAGAAACTTTTCACCCTTTCCCATACGTTGGCTCGATTGTGTTTCGTCAACCAGAAACGCGGAATCAAGAGGCACTTTACCGGCGTGATGGAAACGATTCGGCGATTTTTCATTTGTTCACCTTTTCAAATCGACGAAAAATATCGATGAATAATTTTTTCACAAAAAAAAAAGAAAAGTGTTTGAACTCACCCAATCCAAAACATGCACCTCTGTAAAGAATACAAATTTGCATAAATATCGTTTCCACGCTTTTCGGATAATACCGAAAGTTTGTCACGGACGGCCGCTTCATCAACATCTCCACGGTGTCGGTGATTTCATGCCATTGGTTTATCTAAATTTTATAAATGCAAGAAAATTAACTACACGTGCAGTTACACCATCAACTTACGACATCCTGGAGAGTTACAGTGATCACGCTGATTCGTTCCATAGCAATATTTGTATTCTCGTCCTTCTTGGACGATATTAAATTTATAATGTTATCAGTCGCCGACGCTTGCTGTCCCGCGGTCACTGTACTGTCATCAGTGTTCTAAAAAAATAAAAAATTAATGTAGCCACGAAAATACAAAATTGACCAAAACATCAATACACAAGTAAAACGCACCTGAGCAATGTTTTTCAATATCATCGATTGAAAGTCGTCATTCAAAGCGAGATCAACGATCATCTTACTCCTGGCTTTGCGCTGCCTAGTGGGATTCTTGTCTTTGCTCTGACTGTCGTAGAGCTTGTACTTGGCCTGCTTTCCATCGGACGACTTTTTCTTATCAACGAGCATGTGCTCCACGAGTCTGCACTCCCCGGAAAGAATGAAGTATACGTAGTGCACCATTCCTCGACCGTCCCCCAAGAGCACCTCAATCGAGGATAAAAACAGTTGTTTTTTTTCTTTTTTTTTTTTTTTCTTTTTGTAACCAAACGATTTTGCGAATTTTATTTATAATGCTTGATTCTCACCTCGTTTGGATCATAGTTTATCACTTTACTCAAAATGCAGCACTCGCGGATCGTATCTTCGCTCCAGCCTTTGAAATAATTGAAATTAACAAAGGCATCGCGAAGCACGTCCCACTCTTCCATGAGGTAATTCTTCAAGTTTTTGTTAAACACACTTCGGGATACTACAAACAGGTCAATGGACGCTGTATTCACACACAAAGAAAGCAATTAATACTCAGGTTTTTTTTTTTTTTTTTTTTTTTTTTTTAATAATCTACCAGGGATACTTGGGAGTTACGCGAACTATTTGCCATGAAATGTTACGCAGCGTGAAAGTAGCATGAAAAAACAATGTTGCGATGAAAAATGAGACTCGAGTTTCGCGACTTATTCCTATATTTGGCACTAAATACATTTTAAATCAAATGATTCCTTACTTCTGCTCACCACTGTCGCTGTTCTCGGTACGTTGTGAAGGAGAGCTATTTCGCCAAACATATCGCCGGGCTCCAGTGATCCGACGATCGTTTGATTTATCTGGCCTATCGAATACAAGTTTACTCAACATGATATAACTTTTTTTTTTACATCATTGATCGTCATCTGTTGAAAATCCGATTGCTTGAGTAAGTACATGTCAAAAATTATTAGCTAAAAAAATAAGCTGTAATTATAGCTGTTATAATAATACCAATAATTTATAGCTATAATAACATAGATGCAAAAACAGCTATGACTCACAGCTGATAGTTTTTCATAATTCATAATTCGGTAAATATTTCAAAGAAGAAAAAAAATCGTTGTAAAATTTTTTTACCAAATTACCAATCATTAAAACTACCTGTAATATACATACATAAATATTGTTTTAAATTAAAAAATGTAAAAGCTTAAACTAAATTACATATATGTTCTATGGTTACAGCTTAAACTTTTACCCGTGGTCTTGTCGGTGACATCTTTGAAAATATCGAGTGTCCCTCGCACGACGTAGTAGAGGGCCGTGGCTTCGTGTCCCTGCCGAGTCACGGTCCTTTGGGGGAGCACGTACTGGTAACCGCACTCGGCAGCCAGGGACCCCTTGATATCCTCCGGATACTTCTTGAACGCCTTCGTGTTTACTATGACGGACCTCGCGTACTCAATGTCCTCCTTGGACCTCTTGTCCGGCGAAAGCAGCAGTATCGACCGATCCTGGCGATTGTTGTTTCGAACAAACAAACATTATTGTTACCTTTTCTCGCCGCACACGTGAACAAATTCACACGCGTGGATGCACCTTGACCGTGAGGTCCAGCTTGGAGGCTTTCCTCTGTTTGGCGAGTTTGACGTTGGCGGTGACGTTTTCACGGTCCATCAGCGCTTCGCTGCCTATCCACTCGATGTACTCCATGACGAGCCTCACGGACGCGCGAAACAGGTACCTGCCCCGTAATTTTCCATCCTTTAGACGATCAACCAACAATGAAAATGAAAATCGGTCAAGTTTGGCATCGTGTGTGGGTACGAGGTAATTATTGTCACTTGATATAAAACCTTACGCTGACTCGTTGGGTGGACGACAGCAGGTTCGAGCCGATGAGCGCCTCGCGCACTGTGCTCTTTCTGTGCGAATAATCGGCCATTTTTTCTTATGAATTTCGTACTTTTTTTTTTTTTTTTTTTTCCCACGTACACAATTACTATGAGTTATTTTAGATGTACTTGTCCTCTATTTTTTTTTCTCTTTTTTTTTTTTTTTTTTAACGCGTACTCAGTAGTAGTTTGTTCGCGATCACTTTTACATAACAATTTAACTTTGGTACTTTTAGGGTTCAGTTGAACATTTTTTGTTAGTATGCTAATGAGGAAAGGGCGAGTGCGGCGGGTGCGCGCTTGACGTTTGTTTTGTCAATAACGTGTCTTGGCGCCTTTTTCACCTGCGCGTATACATGCGCACACACATTTTATATTTTTTTGAAAATACACATTTTTTTTTAATGTCATCGTAATTTCTATAAAAATAATTAATAGAATGAAAAAAGGTTACTAAGAATTCATATTTGCAAACATTTTAGAGCAGCATAATAATTTTGTAATAAATAAAATAAGAATTATTGCTAGTCGGTAATAATGGTTTCGCAGGTATCGGTATCTTCATGACTTGCATATGTATGCGTGTGCTTTCTTTCTCACTCTTCAGTTTTAGTGGAAAAGCCGCTTTTGGATAAAAAGTTGCAGCAAGTGTCAAGAACTATTTTAAGGTTTTGATACCTAGTGTGAACGTGTAGACAAAAGTGTTAAAAAAGTCAACAAAATGGTACGCCGCAATCTTCTTTTACAGCTTAACGTAGTTTATGTATAATTTTCATTTCTAACTGTTCGCCTTTTGGTATTCGAGTCATTTGTTTATTTGAGGTTATTGTTTGAATTCCAGTATTCCTTCTTGACTAATAAGTGTTGAGTCATTGTCTTTTACAAATCTTTTATTCGTTTTAACAAACAAGATATTTTTATAAATTCTGACTCGAGTGTGTCAATGTTGTTTCCAGAGTTTCGGATTCGCCTCAAAGCCAACATCCAAGAGTTTTGAAGAACCCAACACCAGCAGCAATACTTATGGAATTCAGAGTCCGTTTGACTCGGGGTAAGCAGTTACAAAGTTCATCCTGTATTCTTCCATAAAACTTGTCTTGACCCATAATTATATTTGTCTAGATTGAGTGCCACCAGAAAAACAATAGGCTATTCACACCCGCTTGAAGCATCAGAAAAGAATGTAAGATATGGATTGTATCTTTGGTCGATTCAAAAAAATACTCTATGCCTAAAAAATAATTTTAATTTTAATATCACTGCAGTACCACAAAAATAGTGAACGTATGGAGATGCTTATGCTTCGCAACACACAAGGTTTACATGCACCAATGCGTTTGGCAATGGAATTGAAATCATCTGAAAAAATCGGTAGGCTGCCATTCTTACCGTCATCCAATCTGATGCGTGACGTTATACTTGGAAGAGATGAAGACATAGGGTAAGTTGACTTTTTTTTAAATTTAAATGAATTTATCGTGATATTTATTTCTAATGTATGAAATATTTGTAATTAATAGATTTGAAGATATATTAAACACATCAGAATTCAGGGAACAAATGGGACAACCACACGCTGTTGTAGAAAAGAGTTTGGGAATCTTATAAGGTTTGCTTTTAAGTGATAATTGTTTCTAATAAATATTGATCTATACTTTGTCTTATAATTTGTATTCATAAGATTTTTAATAAATCTCATACATATAAAATTTACAAAATCAACAGTAACACAGTGTAACAACAATAACGTTATCCATTACAAGTCAGGCCACACCAAATCGTCTATTCTCATTCGACTGATTTTCTTAACTTCTTCTATACTAAGTTTCAATTCAGTATCTCTACAATTACTCAATCGCGATTCCAGTCGAGAAACTATAGATTCGATATTGTTTTTTCTCGCACAAATAACAAATGGGAACCTAAATTTTTCTGTGTATCTAGTGAATAAAAAAAACTTTTTAAATTATTTTTGTAGTACAGGGTTATTAAAATGGCTTGCAAATATCGTACTCACAAATAATTATTGTTCCATAGCGTTTGTTTATCATCTTTCGTAATGGCATTTAAGTCCACGAATTTTAATTCACTCTGCGATTCCGTGGTCAATTTATCTTCTTCCGATAATTTACTAGAAAAGTCTGGGTGTCTCAACAAAACTAATTCTTTTTCTGTGAAGTGGATGATACTTTCATTGTAATCAGAATGCACCTTGTACAAGTTTGTTGATTGAATATGACGTACCAGAGTTGTCCAGTTTATCCAAATACTCGTCAAATGCTCTCTTAAGATCCTCAGTCGAAAGGAATGGTCGTTTTTTAGCTGCACTGGACGCAGCTTCGGGACATAGTTCAACCACGTTGCCAAACAGCCATTCAAAATTTTCAACTGGTAGAGCATTTACTTCAGTGATGCTCAGTATGCCTTTTGATGACATTTTCCAGTGTCAACTAAAAAAATAATTGTCAACTTATTTATCAACTGAATTGTACTATTTTTAATGCGCGCTCAACGTCGATGAAAAAAAAAAATTAAAAAAAATTAAAATAAAAAAAGTAAACTTGGTGGCTTACCTTCATGTGAAATCGATAGCAGAGTACAATGATATTCCGATGATCAGCCTCGTACGTTGAAAATAAGCCGAAAAATTCAAAATAGAACCTCGAAAGAGAAGCCAATGGCCAAGAGAAAGTGAAAAAAGCGAAACAATGAGTGTGCTTACCTACCAGCGCAAATTGAAGTAACGCGAGTCAATGAATAAGCAAGCGAGCAAGGTGAGATGGAGAAAATGGGATTAGAGCAGCGTGTACAGTGGCGGAACGAGCAAAGAGTCCACGAAGGTCGAGCACGCCTCCCGCGGAGAGAGGCTTCCCGATCCGGCCGGCCGATGGATGATGACCGAGACGGAATTCGTTCAGAGATATATGTATTCGCATGCAGCTAACCGCAAGGAAGAAAAACAAAACGGGCAGCGCAAAAGAGAGCTTGGCACGCGCAAGCTCGAGCTCCTCTTATACTTGTACTCCTTTTTTGCAGTGCGATGGATAACTATACAACTACAGCAGAGAGAGAGCAGATCGCAAGCCTGAATCCGGCAGTGGCGAACCCGTCGAGCTACCCGATATCGATACACGCAAGAACGGTATTAACGGCATCCACGCAGAGCGCATGGTGGTAGTTTTTAAGCTCTCGCCCGTGATAAAATCCGTGCCTGATCTCATGCGCATATTATTGTGTATCAAGTATACCTACAGTCCCCTTTCTGTTTCTCTCTGTCCGTGTACAGCATCAAGCTCACGTATCGCCTTTAGATACATATATTATGTGATACGGCTACTCACTCTCTCTGCTCCCACAAGCCATGTACGTGCTCTCCATCCTTCTCTGTACCCTCCTTCCAGTCTCTCGCTTTTTTTTCACTCCTTCCGACGGTCGAACCGCTATCAGCTGCGCTTTTCTAATGCTCCGATTACGTACGTATACGTATAATCTTGGTGCACTATCTTCTACTTTAGTACACCTAGCTCTTGCGAGAAAATCGGCACTTGATTACCATTCGTTAGCCCCAGTGAAATTTTTCATCTCAATGACTTTTAGTTTCCATTTTATTAATATTTCGATTGAGTGCGCTTTTTTCCAATGTTCCTTCAAATTTTTGAATTCAAATTTAATACCGAGCAAACAGGTCTCAGTCTTAACAACAGCCGATACGCGAATGAATTTTATTACTTTGATAGTATTTCAAGCTTTAATCAACGAAATAGCTACTTATTCGATATAAATTGAAGAAAAAAATTTTTTTTCCAAAACAATATTGTATATGCCATGGTCGATAATACAGGTGACTTCAATTGTGTCAATACATGCCGTATTATACTTTGGCATTTGTCAAAACAACAACCGACTGTCATCGCTTTGTAAGAAATATGTAACGCATTGCCAATCGTTTTCAAGGTCACCCCAAAGATCGACCGAGGATTGCACCACGTATTTGCTTAGGAGCTTCTACGAGCCCGTCGCGAGATGTCGTTTGGAGCCGATCTTTCGAAAACAGAACGCGGAGGATACTTATATTTTGGTGCACCCTCGCCGTCGCATGCACTTTTGATAACAATGTATACTTATATGATGCCTCATGGTATCGGGGTGTTTGGACATTTTTTAAAGCGAGTTTCGTTCGTAGAGCGACTTTGGTCCCTTCTTCATGTCACTCAAAATGCAAGCAACGACTGTATACCAACTGTAAGAGCGACACACTTACAGTATTGACCAGGTGGAAGTAAACAGGAAACCTGGGGTACCAAATTACTGTCATTTTTGCTTAATTAAGGAAAGAATAACAGTATTTCGTCAAATTTACAGATGTTATCATCACATATGCATAAATAGTATCAATATTATGAAATTGCAGTTACACAAATGTAAAAAAATGAACTATGTGGTGCCAAGAACGGTTGTAAAATGTTTGAATGTAACAACATACTTATTAATGAAGCCTCGTTAGTTTTCGATCCAGAGCACACTCTCAGAAGCAGACGGCAAAAAGAAAGATAAATGTACGAAATAAGACATGATCATCGTGATTTCTATTATTTAAACGTTTATGAAATGTGGGTTTAAGAAAGTGCTGTGTTTTTCAGTGTAACAGTAGCGCAAAGACAAATGGAGTAAAATTACATAAATTTCAATGATTATCCAACTGTAAATAAAAGTAATTTTCATGTGCAATGCAACTTATAGACAATTTTCAAAATAATCTAAATAAAACGAGGTCGAGGTCTGCCTTATTACGACGGCACTTGTCAAATTGCTAACTCCATCACTGTGAAATTCTGTAACATCGCACACATGACTACTTTTAACCAACTGTTTACCTTTTTTTAAGGCTTTCGAGTGTAAAATATTCCTAAAGCCTGTTTTTATGATAACATCCATTATCAGATGAATAAATACACTTATTTTTTGCTGGTTAATTAATTATTACCAAAAGTGTGCATCGGTGTAAAGTATACTGTTGACGTGTAATGTAGGTACCCGCGGTTGGATGATTTTGACACCAAGGCTGGCGCTGCATGACATGCACCTGGCCAATAGTCGCCCGTCTCGATAATAAACATACCGATACTATTGTGGAGTGCTCTTTGCATCTTTTTTTATTCGTTATAATATGCCCATACAATGTATATATGTATACACTCATCGAGTTTACGGGGCGAAGGATATAATGTATAGGAGCGATCGAGCGCACAAAGTGATGGGCATTATATGCGTATACGCTTAGAAGTGGGTTCGTTACGAGGTTGATTTTATAGGATCGTTTGGGAGTTTTTAACGCGCGGCCCGCGATATAACGTTGCAGGGCCGCTTCTTTTTTTTTCCCTCTCAAGCCCAAGACAACAATCGAAACGAGAGGTATACGCGGAAGAGTTTGGGTTCGAAAGTTGGGCGTCGTAAAAGAAACGAAAACGTTGTTGGCGCTGATCGGTATCGTTAGCCTCTGATCTTTTATTTTACGACGGCTATACATATACACGTATATCTGTGCGAGGAGACGATGCTCTTACTCGGTCTTAGAAATAATTATCTCATCAAATTCTTGGACAGGTCCGTCAGACGGGTCAGCTAAAAATCTGGGTATACACGCCCGCCTTTCGCGGCGCACTCGTCGTTCGTTGTCATGGAATTATCAATCCAGTATTTTTTGTGTATACTTCTGTATCGGCAATATGCAGGCGCGGAGACTCAAGAAACAACATATCAGTGTAGTTATGGTGAAAAAAAGTGTAAACTTTCGGCACAGCTTGAATTTTTCGAGTATACAACATTGCGGGTCCTATACAAGTTATGAAACGACCACATTGGCCGAGCAATAAACGAAAGCCAATCGAGAAACCAGTTTATTTTACAGTGAACGTTACGATTTTACTTTATGATGTGAACCGCGACCACGAAAGTAACAATAAAATCGAAGATATACATATATACGCCTAAAACGCGTACGTCTATACCTGCGTTGCATATTTTTCGACTCGTATTTTATTATTTATACTCTCCGAAATAAGACACATTTTTTTTTTTTTCCAGCGAGTCAATTCAAGAAAAATGGTACAACTTATCAAAGAGTATAAAAATGGCCAAAGACTCGGGCGATCGGTGTAAAAATGTCGAGCTCGTGTACCAATAAATGTTTGAAAAACGATGGATCGAGCCGCATCGGGTACATGTATACGTGAGTATCGGCTGCAGAGAGGCCGAGGCTCGCCATTCTTACGGCTGTCGGCGTAAAAAAAAAAAAAAAAAAAAAAATCCTGAAAAGCCGGCTCCGTTTGTGCACCTATAATACACATATATACACCGATGCCCATTTCTCTCGTTGCCGCTGCCTCCTTCTCTTCCCTCGCTGCACGCATATAGGCGGTATTAGCTTAGGTCGATCGTATCCGAGGCACAGTGTAGCTCCGAAAGGGACTCTGAGCGCGGGTATACCATTCGCCGAGACTCGCTACCAATGGGTGCAGCATATAATGCACTGGCACCGTCGCCCCATATATACCTATATGTACATACCTCGAAAGCTATTGAGCCGCAACAACCTATTTATACTTATGTATATATATATATATATCCTTACCTCCTGTGGGGTGAGCGCATCGGCGTGGGGCAAAAAATAAAGCCAGTCCGGCAACCCGTACGTTTTTATTGGGCGTCTCCGTGCAGCGCTTCTTTGAGCTAGGGCTGGGAAAAAAAATATGCGCGTGTGTATATTATATACCCACTGGTTTGTTGTACATCTATTTTACTTTCCCCTGTGACTTTTTGCGCTATATTCTTTTTTTTTCTCGATGTAAGTTATAAAATATTTTTTTGGAAAACAAATGTTTACGATTGCCCGATTTTTTTCTTGATGTTTTGTGTTTTTTTTTTTTTTTTTTTTTTGCAACGCGATGCGAAAAATCGTAAAAGTGAGCGACCAAATCGATGTTAAAGGGAAATGCGAGGCGTTTCACCGAATGGGATATCAAAGTACATGTATATAGTGAGAATAGTGAGTTGAGGCGAGATGATATTGTACATCGGTCGAGTTAGCGGTGGGTTGTAAATTTTATGGCACTTGACAAAATAATCAATCCACTTGTCGAATGTTATCTAAATAAGCGAGGATTTTCCATCTTATAATATTGCCATTTTCAGGATAATCGAAAATAAAAACTTACACCGCAAAGTATGAGTGTACCTATACATATATCCATAGTTGTTTGTAAGTAATACACGAGTTCCATAAAAAATAACTTTGCCAATTAACTTGGTTACACGCGTACCTTCGCTTGTATATGCATATAAATATACCTGCAGGGATGCAGAGGCGAGTCCGTGTTGGTTGGCAAAGTTCAAGGTTTTTTTTTCCCTCCCCTCCCCCCCGAGCTATTAGCCAAAGTCCAATTACCATCGGTGCCGCGCGCGCGCCATTCTCGTTTTCAGCTCCTTTGCTTTTGTTGTTCCCTGCACATACACACCCGTTTATATACACCGATGCCGGCTCGGGCACTGTATCCTTTTCCTCGTCCTTATCCCTTTATTTACCCTTTTTTTCCCCTTTTTCGAGCTTTTCTTTTTTCGCCGCAGCTCCGAGAGTCCCGGGCGCGCTTCGGAAACTCCTATTTTTTTTTTTTTTTTTTTTTTTTTCCTCTTTGTAAAATTCCTCGCGCTGATGCCGAGAGATGTTAAAACGTATCAAAAAATATAAGGCATCTCTCGGACGTGTTAAAATTTATACGAGTTTTCTCGGAACTTCTGATGCCTCCCTCAAGGCTATCGGACGGGCTTATTTTTGTATATTATACGTGTATATACAAGCCGCACAAAAAGTTTACGATTTCTTTTCTATAGAGTTACTTGTTTTGCTTCTTCCAATTTTTTTTTTTTTTTTTCCTTCGATCGAGACAAATACGGCTTTGGTCCGATGGACATTCGGAAACCAGACCAGGGATTTGTTTACGGTAAACATTCCATTTGTGCAAAGTTCACGGCTCCACCCAAAATACCAATAACAGGAGTGATCCAACAAGGAAGGCTTGTGATACGCGCGCTGTAAGTTTGGGTACACCGCGTGTTATGGTGTAGTTGAAAATGTCATTCAAATTTCTGTACACGTATGACCTACATCAAAATAGTGCTGGTAATCAATTAATCATCAATTTATTTAAACAATTTTATAAAAGAAAAAAATTGTTCAACAGAAAAAGAAATTTGCGAAACGTGACAAAAACTTACTTCGTAGACTTGGAGAGTAGTTGTTTGGTCCAGTAGAGCTGGTTACATAGTTGACGAACCATTGGTTTAGTCATTCGTCAAGTGCTCATTAGCATTAGCTAAGAATAGAAAATCCAAACACACGCTTCAAACGTTTCATACAAACACATTTGGATTTATTGCATTGGTTACTCCAAGCGTAGTATTTTTAATGTTTTTCTTTAGGCAAGTTATCTTTGGAGAAGCCTTTTGCTCAATTTTTTGCCATATTTTATTTATACGATTTGTAAGATACATCCATTTCACACATGTTGTGAAACCTTCTATCGTTACGCGCGTCCCAATGGGTTGAATTAACATCTTAACATGCATGTAATAAAAATTTATTAAAAAAAAAATAATAATTTTTTTAGTTTACTAACTCCAGTAAGCTAAACGAACATTTTCCATACAGGAGGCAAATTACCAAACATTGTTTTACGTCCTGACCAACTATTTCGGTTTGAAATTATTTATTTGAGCTGGCAATGGATATCAGAGTTAAAAAAAAAAAAAAAAAAAAAAACTCACTTGTATTCACGGTGACCTAGCTCACACGCTTTCTTCGAACCAAAACTTTTTATTCGGCAAAAACTACCACCTTTACTTCTAAGCTACGAAATATTGCCCGTAAAGTATAAAAATCTTCCTCTTTAAGCGAGACTTTGCAGTGCCCGAGTATAGAGTCAGTCGTGACATTGTCCCAAGTCGGATGATTTTTATCTCGTAGTCGAGTTGACGACTGTAACGAGTAGCGAAGAACAACATAACAATGAAGAGCCGAAGGGAGCGAGTCGTCCTGGTGAAATATCGACGTTAAATCCCGGTGATGGCTGTGGTGGCGGACAGTACATACACACATAGAGTACGAGTAGGTACAGCGTTCAACGAGAGATAGAGAGAGAAAAAAAAATGTCAGCTCGTAGCTAATGCCGGGGCACATCGATCTGGCAGTTACGTCAAGGGCCCTCCGGAGACTCGTTGCGCTCTTTCTCCCTGTACGTGCTTTCGTTCTTCCCGACCCCTCCCTCACTTTGCGCCCACACCCACGGCATTGTTTGCAACACAAACGGAATTTGTGATTCACATGTATGTATGAGGTATACATATACCCACGTCTATATGTGGCTTCATGTATATTTAGGAGCACGTGGATCCACGAGAGGCAACTTATCATGTATGTATAGTTCAGGCTGTGTATGATGTTACTCCCCTATTTGCGTTTCACACTGTATTATGTGGTGATGTACTTACTCGTTACCAAGTGTTGTTTGCTTCTGTGCTGGTTCGTGATTTATACCTACGTGTAATGGATATTTTTCTCTCTCTCTCTCTCCGCTCGAGGCTCGTCTTGTTATAATTTTGTATCACCTTTGTTTTCGTCGAGCTGCTTATCTGGCTGTTTTGGCGATGGTAGTATATCAGTTGTTGATCGCAGTCTGATTTCGAGCTCAATTTTTTTTTTTTTTTTTTTTTTCTTCTCTTTTTTCCTTTACAAAATTAAGACGGTGTTGAGAAACACGAATAAACATTTGCTCGAGGAGGTCATGTGTTACAAAAAATGATAGCCTTGTTTTTTTTGTTTTTTATCAAATTTTCTTTATTTCGAAACGAATAGTGTAATCGCAGATTTTAAGTTTTTTTTTTTTTTTTTTTTTTTTTCAATCACATCACCAAATCAAGATTACAACTCTTCATTGTTTTTTTCGAGTTGATCGCCTTTCTTTGCGTCTTTATTTTTTATTTTTTTTTTTTCACACTCTTGCATTCCGGTCAATTATGAGTATTTACAATGTCGAAACAATAAAATCAGACGGAACTTTTCGTTTCAAGTTTACGCGTGTGTCTTAACGATACATCATGTTCAACACCGTTTACGCATTATTATTTGCAAACCATAGTTGTTCTCTACAGTGCTATGAGTAAAGTGTCTTTTAAATACGATTATCGCAAACGCGTATTATACTCGACAATACTATATCATTATCAACAAAAACAATGTAATATCAAAGAGAAAATGCTCAAGGCACGTTATTTTATATATTTATTCATTTATTTGTATCAAGCCTTTCAACTTAAGCTTTTCTCCTCCGATCGCTTTTGGAAACACAACGATCGCACACACTCGTTGCTTACGCGTTTAAGGCCATACCTCACGTATTACGTGCTAATTACAAATTCCAATGTTATTGGCGTGCCGTTAATACATTTATGTATTTTCCCCATTTAAAACTTTAAATGGTAAAGTTGAAAAGTTTATAAAATGAAGCGATGGAAATTGATCGCGTTTATCGAAAACGATGAAATTCAAAGGTGGCAGAAAAAATAATGTTTTTGTGAACACGACAAAACATTTGAAATCTGAGTAATATTTTGTCAATCGCTGTAAAACAATTTCAAGTAATACCATGATATAAATAAAAAATCACTCAATTCCCATAAAGTACAAAACAAATTATTATTTTTGAAAGACTAGTACTTTTTTTTCACTGAATCAAGAAATTTAATAGTTTCATATTACTTTCAGATGATACAACTTTTCTAGAGATTCCGAATTCACAAATTTAACGCAATTTTCAAGTATTTCAATCAAAATGGAGTTAAAGATCAACTAAAGTGTATACAATATACTATAATAAAAATATTTAAAACCAATTTATCAGGATAACGCGTCCTTTTTTTACCTTTGTTTTTTTTTCAGTGTCAACAAACAGTCACGTTACCCCATAAAATTCGTAATAAATACAATAATAATAAAAATAATCATTATGATACTAATGATGATAATAATAATAATAATAAAAATAATAATAATAATGATAATATTGCTAATCATAAAAATGAAACAACTTTCCGTAAGAGTAGATGTTACGGAGCGCCCTTCAACGAACCTATCAATGCGTCGCATGAAAGTAATATTAAATTCGTACACATTACATACATAAGTATTCGATAAAATGTCCGTGAATACGCCTACGTACACAAAAAAATAAAATAATATATAATTTCGCAAATTAACTAACAACAACAGCGCCAACTCATATCAGCATCACATCTACAATTCTCCGCTTCATCGGTATTACACATATGCTCTATGTACAATGAAAGAAAAAAAAAAAAGAAGAAAAAAAGAAATTATTCTTTTCCGAAAGCTTCGATGAGGGTGAGCTCGGATCTCCCGATTCCGGGCACGTCACAAACCATCCATTCGTCGAAATGGTTCGTACACTCGCGAAATCGGCACTGACGATCCCCGCAGGTTGTACACAATTGCACCTCTCGAACAATTTTTCCTAAACACCCCCCGGCACAACAAACAACTCGTGCCGTTCACTATATATATTTACATGCGCCCGAAGCACCACCACGTGCACTCCAATCCGCCGAGCCGGGATGAAACTATACACTCGCGGCCGTCGGAAGAGCAGCAAGTACACACACACACCCCTCTCTCTTCTTTCCCCGTCTGTAACTTGCGAGAGATAAGTCGAGTTTTTCGAAAGTTCAAAGCGTTCCGGCACCACTCCCTCCCGAGGGACCACCTCCGCCGAATCAAAGTTGAAAACGACTTTTCTCCCCCCTCCCCCCCAATCGGGGAAAAACTCGCAGCGCACACGCGCGAAGGCGTGTAAATAGGTACACGTTTTCGATTCACCGACGCGAACAATCTTCTTGCACGTATGATTTTTCTTAGAGCTAAGCCGCGCGTGGCTTATCATTGGGGGTCCGAGAGCGGAAGGGCGTCGGCAGCCGTCGCGAACGTGCAGGACGGGGGACTGGTGTCGCGTCACATGCCGAGGACCGAGTGGCCGGAGAGCTGGGGGTGGCCGGCGGCCGCGGCGGCTGCCACCGCCTGGAAGATGGACTGCGAGTGGTGATGGGGGTGATGGTGGGCCGGGTGGTGGTGGTGCGGGTGGTGGTGCGGGTGGTGGGTCCCGAAGGTGGGCGGTGGGGTGGGTGTGGTGGCGATGGCGGAGGCGCCGGTTGGGTTGTTGGTGCTGCTGGTGCTGCTGCAGGGGCTGGTGGTGCTCCCGTGGTGGAGGAAGCCACCGAGGCCGAGGCCGGGCATGCCGCCGAGGCCGAGGCCGGTCATGCCGTTGATGACGGGGCCGGGGTGGGCGATCCCGTGGGCGTCGAGGATCGGCTTGACGTCGCGCTGCTCGAGCTCGTTGCGCTTCTTGGTTTGCTTGCGCTCCTTGGCCCGCCGGTTCTGGAACCAGATCTTCACTTGGCGCTCCGAGAGGCTCAGCGCCCCGGCGAGCTCGGACTTGCGTCGGATCGTTATGTACTTGCTCGAGTAGAACTCCTTCTCGAGCTCGAGCCTCTGGTGCTCCGTGTACACGACCCTGTACTTGTCCTTCGTTCGCGTCTTGCCTGCAACATATCAAAGAGAGCGTGGGAAACGCTTAAATTAGACTATTTTGCTTCAACCTATTTTATACAAATATAGCACAGCTAACAATTATTGTTTTTTAGCTGTTTTCGTCTGTACGATAAATAATTGGTCATCGAGGGTGTGCGCACTTCTGGAGTCGTGCGAGACAAAGTATTTTTTGCTTCTTTAGTGAAATTGAAAACTTTAATATTCACAGCAATAAAGAGCAGGATGAGCGTTCTTCCGACAAATATTTGGGCCTCTACTGATACTTGAAACAAAAAATGTTAAAAAAATGAAGATGGCACTTTTTTTATTCTCACTAAATTTTAGACGTATTATAGATGTTTATAGATGTTATATTTCGAGTCGAGTTGAAAATGCTCATGACCTCATTTAACTCGTACACGCCGTATTAGTAAAATTCATTTAAAGTTTGATGCTTTAAACAAAAAAAAATCTTTATTATACAAGTCTTGAAAAGTTTCTAAATGGTTTTGTTTTTATGTAACTTTCAAGTGCGCAAACCCTGAATAGCAATATTATAGCAGCGACTAGTACAGCGATACATTATACGTGTCTACGGTTCAAATTCTATTTTCATGCAAACTAAAGCGTTTTTAGTGTAAATTGATTGGCCTATAACAATAAAATTCATCGATTATCGTGCATTACGCTATAGGTCCATCTTGTAGCAGGTAACAAATAAATGAAAAATATGTAAAAAATAAAAAAAATCGAAGAAATACGTGTTGACTCACACATATTACAGGTACCTATACGTAATAGCTAAACCTAATGTAAAATTGAAAGACCTTGAATTCCGCGTCTGTTTACTTGAGGGATTTTCGTTTTGCGCTCATACAGTACAGCCTGCTCTACATGGGATTTCTTGAACTCGTTTTATCTCTACCCGTTACTCTATTTTTGCTCGCCATTCTCAATCGCGCGTATATTTACACGCGTATGAAATTGGAATACTTTGCTCCGTTGAGCCGATTCGGTAAAAAATCTTTTTGTTGGTTTTAAATAACAAAAATCAGGTCACCGCGAATAAGGAAATTTTGTGAAAAATCATCGGAATTACCTCGAGATAATGTTGAAAACTAAAATTACTAATCTGTAACCGTAAACTCGCGTTGGTTATCTAGAGGATTTTTCTATTCACAAAGTAAATTTTGTAAACGGCAAAAATTAGTGATAAAGATTAGCGTTCTCAGCGACAAAAATAATTGTGCTAAAAAAAGTTTCCTGGACGACGGAGTAAGTATTTATCCATTTCCGAAACGTATGTTTATGTTGTTGATTTCTCGCCGCGTAGTTTCATGGATATAAATATTTACCGATTTTTCCAACGACAATTTACTTATTCCCAGTGATCGAACTTTAACTATTATTAATTGCAAATCAGTGAAACATCAATAACCCAGAGCTACACGAATAACGTAACGAATAGTATATTAATATCAGTCACCAAAATATATCAGAGATAGTGAAAAAATGAAATTCCGTGAAATATCAATACGTAACAATTAACTATTACATTTCTGGTGACATAATACATTATCGTCAATTGCGTAAATATTGGTTTTTCGTCAAGTTTCGAAAAGTATGGGGCTCTCTTGTACTTGACTTGGTGAAAGAAAAAAAAAATATATATATACACATCACGTATTGGTTGTCATTATCAGCTGCTGCAGTGGCGGTTTGACCAAGCGATGTCGCAAGTATAGGCACATGTAATACACGCCGTACATATACAAGACAGGTATCTCACAAGAGGCACGCCGGGCTGTAGATGAAAAAGACCGCCTTGATAAAATCCCTCGCGCTCGTGTCCCTGGGCCCCATCGCGTATATAATATGTGTGTATGTTTACGTAGTTTTTTTTTACCTACGATATTACGTGGTACGTAGACTCTACTGTAAGCGTATTTCGTTAGAAGCGCGGAACAACGCGTGAGAAGCAAGAATTACCCATTTTTAAACGAAAACTTTACGAGTCCTATATATAACATTTTTTTGCACAAGAACTACCTGGGCATTGAATATGCAAATCAAGTGTTTACACCGTTATCAGCGGAAGAGAGGGAAAAAACATATTGTACGCGATTCTTCGGTTGAATTGGCGAGCAAGTACGTTGTGTTTGGGGTCAGCAGAATCGAGGAGAGGAGAAAAAAACAGCTCAATCTTTTGGTGGACAGTAAAAATGATCTAATGAAGATTTGCATGGGACACCGAACGAGAAACGCGAGCGTCGGACGGAGGAGGAGAAACAAGCGGATCCATCAAAGCGACTTTTTACACCCCGAAAGTGCTAAGTAGGCAATGCCTCCTCGTGTTTCAGCTGATGCGGATATTTATGGCCAAATCGATGTTACGTACTGCGTTGAGGGGGAAGGTGGAATCGGGATTTTGATCGGTCAATGTGTCAGCAACGACAGCGAGATAACCATCGGAATCTATGGGAATAATTTATGGCGCCGAGCGAAGGAAAAAAAAAGGGCTCGAGATGAATTTTTCTATTTTTAGGCACTGCTGATTTGCAACGATACCCTGTCATTGTTAAAAATTTGCCACTCAAAGGCATATATTACGTGTACTCGTTGCGGCAAATACAGAAGAAGAAAAAAAGAGAGGATGAAAAGGCACTCGAGAGAAAATCGCGTAGCACAACAATGTCAACTCTAATTGATACTAATCGCCCGAGATCGGATTGAACGAGAGGTGCCGTGAAACTAACAAATAGCCCGGCTCCGATGACAAGAGCCGATAAGTCCGATATCGGCCCTGTCTCTATACCTGTGTATACGTGTAACATTTGGTGGACTGTTTGGCGAAAAGAAAAAAAAAAAAAAGATAAGCCAACCACAGGCGGTGACAATATTCGGGGCCAACAATTGTCGAAGTATATCCGAGAGGAGGAAGACAAGTTTGGTGCACAAGTATAGACGAGAGGAGGTGTGCGCGTTACGGACATGAGAGATATGGGACGGAAGGAAGTGCGCGAGCACAGCATATATTTATATACACACACACACAAGGGAAAAGGGACCAAAAGTATCTACCTACGAGTATACGCATATATATGGGTAACGGAGCTATATTGTACTCTCTTTTTAGTATATAATACAAGATCGCGCGGGAGGGTAAGAAGGATGAGGAGGAGAGCAAAGAGCGGGAGACGCTCAGGTGAGAGATATACAGAGAAAGAGCTGCGCCGCGTTTCTACGAAGGCCTTCGGTTATCAAGGAGTGCGGGATTAGCGAGTCGCGCTTTGATGTCTGCCGCCCGCTCGGCCCTTATCTAATCGCAAAGATGCCTCCACCCCCCTCCCCCCTTGTTCTCGTCTTTCTCACTCTCTCTCTCTTTCTTTAGGCATGTCATACGTATATATACTCGCTTGTATTCCGTGTGCAGCGCACGTATATGCGTGCCAAGCACCTCCTTTTTCCTACTCGCGTTTTAATGCTTTTTCATTAAAAAATACATACATGTGTTTATACCTTCACACCTTGGCTCTTTTTCTCATATGATTTAATGTGTTCTCGCAAACTCGCTCGTTCTTCGCATGCGTGCACATGATCTGTATCAAATAATTTTTATATCGGCAATTCGTACGTGGTATGTATGTAGCATTTATAAATTACACGCGTACAGGCAACGTGTGTTCCGATGCACATCGACCTTTAATCGTCGCACGATCGCGACATCCTTTGTCTATATACTCCCACCTGATCGAACTTGCCATTGAACTCGGGATGTGATATCACTCGGCCGATGTGACTCTCTTAGGAGCTACATCGATTACTTTCATACATGTATGACATACATGCTTTTCGTTATTTTTATATGATTTTTATATCCTATTCTGGGGTTAGCACGCGTGTATTATGTTTGCGTTGTTGTCGCGCGGTTCGTTGAGAAATTAGAATATTTTATAAACGTGAGGAATAAAATTGGGCTGATTTTTACCGAGAAAACGGATGATATTATTTTTAACGTATTATTAGTACAATTAGCAAAGTTAATTTTAGAATTGCTTTAATTTAAAGAATTTTTCGATGGAAATTTCATCGTAATGAAAAATATCTCTCAGTTGCAATAAAAATATTATAACCGGCGTATTTGAAACAAACGAAAACTTGCAGGGATGCATTTATCTCAATGTTATAATTTTCCAGTATGATTTATGAAAAGTTTTGGAAACCGTACTTTTATTTCAATTTGTAAACTCTGACACGTCAAATCGATATTTTTTAGTTTAAAAACTTTAGCATACCCTGAGACACGAATAATTTAGCAATTTGCAAAACAAATTTTTGTGAAAACGTTTTTTCATCCCATAGGCTTTTGACTTTCTTCCTCTCCATAATCATAGAATCAAAATATTTTCATTAGAAAACCCTTGAACTTAAAATTCACAAAAACCGACTGTACGTGCTTTTCGACTCATTTAAAATACATATAGGCACGGCATATAATGTGAGATATCAAAACTCAAGTGTTGAAACGAAAAGAAAAACAGCATCTCGTGACCCAACGACTCGTTAAAACTGCCCTGAAACACGTAAAATTCGTCAGGTCGGCTCTTTTGATCCCCTCAAGACTCCGCAGCAATATCAGACCGATTGCGCGAACATTCATCCTCCATACACCATCAGATAATACGGAGAGAAGAAAGTGAAACAAGAAAAGCCTTACGAGGGGCCCCTCGCGAATCGTTAACGCGAATAAATCTCGTATATATATACTATTAAAAATCACGTACCCTCGAGTATATATATATATCCTTCCCGAAGGTGGCTATAAAGCAGCAGTTATTACCGTACACACAGCGACCATCAAAAGACAACATAATTATATACGTATAGGCTAAAACCTGTTTTCACCTCGGAGTTATGCCCGTATGCACACAGAAGTATAATAATTATGCAGGAGCGAGAGATTGAAACTGTGTTTTGTAAAAATTTTCTGAAAAAACCTATAAATACGTTATACATCTTTATCGTTGAGGGATCCCTCGAAAACTCGGAAAAACAGCAGAGTAGTTAATTGGAGGATGAGCTTTACGACGTTTATACGCCGTGGATGGTGGCCGATTAGACGCTGATGGCCGTAGATACACGTATACATGAAGGAAACATGTATTTGTACAGGTCGAGGCGCTAAACGCGTTGAAAAATCCAACAAAGTGGGCTCAAGACGAGGAGCCGCGTCGTCGCCGGGAGCATAATACATCCATCAGACGGAGATATAATATATATGCCTGAGTAAGATGTAGCGTATGGTATATAGTCCAAAGTGAGTCTGATTCACGCTCGTCACGTCGACGCTGGAGAAGCCGAGGACCAACGATGAGAATATGAATCGGGGACGTTTGAACGAATAACTAAGAGTGAGAGAGAGAGGGGGGGGGGGAAAGGCAGAGCGAAGAAGTGAGCGGGAGAGGGAGGTTGGCTTAGTGGAGAAGAAAACGGGACTCGGGGGAGTCGTTGCCACCCCATTACACGGACGCGGGCGGGCTTCAATTTCGACACAACGAGGACGACGAGGGTAGCTTGTACACCCGCACCTTTTTCTCCTAAGTATACCAACAATACTACGTGTCCATGTGTCGGCACTGTCCGCGGCGTCGGTGCAGCAGCATCTTCGTTTTCGGTGTACCGGTATCAGTTTCGGCTGGGCTTCCGCATCGCCCCGTGCACTCCCCAATGGGCACTTGTACGTAGCGTCCCGCGAGGTGCCATTCGTCAACGGCGACCCGATTGTGCCGATGCTTGCATGTCTATTGCATCGTGTGCGCGTGTGTAGTCTAGTGGCACCTTACATTTGTATATGCATACTTGTTTGCAATAACGACATAAGTATATTATATAGTGTTATTGGGCGTGAAAAAATGGTCCTTCGATGATACAAAACCGCGTAGCTTGGTTTGGCATTATTTTTTCAAAGAGGCGACTCGACCGACAAAAAAAGAAAAGGAAATACATAGGAAAAAAAAGTAAAGAAAGGAAGGAAGAAAAAAAATGTCGACATGTATTGAATGAACATTAAAGTAAGTATAGTAACAACTGAGGATTCCTCTCGTGGACAATGATTGGCCATGGACGGCACAGCTAAGCTCGCCCATAATCACACCACGAGGCACACGAACAAAGTGTGGGTTGGGTACGAATATGCTGTATCCTATATGTATATACGTGTACCACCGCCCTGTCGTTCCGCGTGACGCCCGACTGTGACGCCCCGCAGGCCCTGCTGCGAAACGAGTGACCGCAGAACGAGAGGCGCGCGCTCGAGCTCGGCTATTATGGTTTTGTCAACAACGTAGTGAGCGAGTATATAAGTAGGGTACGTATACGTCAAGGGAGAGAAATCGGTTCGAAATGGCGTCGGCTCTCACGCGTACCGAACTCTGCTGCGCTCGGGACCATTTTATTTTTAGTTGAAGAAGAAAAAAAAAAGAAAAAACGCGTTCAGTTGAAAAAGTTTATACCGGCGTGTGCCACGATGTTAAAAGATAATACTCAATATTTTGCTCGGGGCATACTTGGCAGAAAAAAAAGGAACTTTCCCACATCGTGGGTCTATCAATGCGTGTGCCAATGATATACCGATGGCGCAAAAAGCATTGCGTTAACAAAAGGGAAGAAATAATGAAACGAGGAGAAAAAAAAAAAATTTAAGAAGCAGCACGAAATCGTTGCAATTGTATACGTGTGTACACCATGGACGCGAGTGTCAGCTGTATATATGTATGTATGTATAATACGAGACGGTGGAGGCCACGTGCAGCAGGCTTCTTTTCTTTTATTCCAAAAGCTCCTGCTTGCCCCGTTCGCCTGTCATGCCCGAGACTGCAATATAACCATAAAATGCAGATAATGGCCAAACGCGATTCCAAGCACCAGTGCTGGCGAACCAAAAAAAAAACGGGGAAAGGAGGGGAGCGATCAAAGAAAAAACCACGCAGACGCTGAAAAGCAGCGTGCATGTAGCACGCAAGCGTCGTCGCCGACTTGGTAAAGTCCTTTTTTATTCTTTTTTTTTTTTTTTTCTTGAGCGAACAAGTATAGCTCGAGAAAGGAGTAAGTCAGTCTCGCCGCGACTCCATCCACAGCAGCGGTCGATTTTCATCCTGCCCCGCCTCCCTCCCTCCCTCCCTGCCCCGACTGACGTATCCCATGTCCGTATAATAATAACGTATAGGTTGGAACGAGAGCTGGATTTTAATGGAAAGAGCCACCCCCCGCCCGTGCCATTATACGCGGTTGGATCGAAAGAGTATTACTACTATTATTGTACGCGTATATATATATATATATGTATTATATACACGTCGCGTGCAGTGAATAACGCGGAGGAGGAGGGAGAGGAACGCCGACGACGCCGATGTTTTTCTCTCTCCCGAGGCGCGACGATGGCTCCGCACGCAGCCCCTCCCGCGTATATACTTATACATGCGCTGTGCGACGAGCAGCCCTCCGCGTCGCCATCGTCATTATTATTACCATCGCCACAACTTGCGACCCCCTCTCGCGATTAGCGAAATCTCTCCAAATTCGTATTTACGTATCTCTCCTTGGTACTGTATTTTCAACATAATATTTTTAAGGACTTGCTTAAAGAGAAAGAAAGCAAAGCTTCAACAACTAAAACATGTACACAATATAGTATTATACATAGGGTAGGAAAAGTTGAACTATAAAAGTAGCGGGAAAAAAAAAAAAAAAAAAAAAAAAAAAAAACAGAGCAATCGAATGCATAAGTATATATTGTACAACAGCAACCTCTACAGTGGTGAAGTGAGTATTGAGAAATAAATACCATCTAAGGTGCAGAGATGGTGAAGCTCTTCGGCTGAGGTTGCGGCCGTTGCAGCGTTGCTGCACGCCACTGCAACAATACAGACACAGGTTTTTTTGTTTTCTATATGTTTTTGTTCTCGTGGACAAAATTGCGCGAAATCAATCGGTGCTGGGCCCCCCTTGGGCTTCAACCGGTTCCCGGGATCGGTAATACTCGCGCGATGCGATCGAAAAATCGGTAATTTTTCCTTTTTCACGGGTGGTGTTGAAATTCAAAACAGAACTCGTCGTTTCCATACAATGTTAACCGCGGCACGAGCTGGGGTGGAAAAAAGCACAAAGTCAAATTTTTACGTTTAATCTCGAGCGCGATAACGCCTACGCGCGCGGACCACGATAACGAAGCTCTTTTCGAGATCACCCGATTTTACGGACGATACGAAGTTGCGACGAATAATTATACTGCAGGTGTGCGATGCATTGTACGTTTTTACAATTAACGTCCAATATGCTTGGCAAATTGTTTTTAAAACACAGCACCTGTCGATCCAGACATCTTGGTGTGTTAATATACATATAATGCATATACAGGGGATTATCGCGGAAACGGTCCGTCGCTCGTGATTCGCGCTCATGTTTTATGAAAATTTAACGAGTAAACTGTATAGTAGGTAAAAATATTGAGTGTCCTACAATACAATTGTTCAAATAATTCCCGGAGCTCGTGTGCGCGAAGGCGATGTACCCCCATTACATATTCGAACACTAACAGATAATCCCAACGAATAGTGCAAACGAAACCCTACAACGTGAATAATAACGTACAAGTATGCAATGGTATTGTTTTTTTTTTTTCTTTTTGATTCGTCATGGTATAGCAGTGTACAATCATATGAATGTTAATCCACCAAAGATTAATGCAATGATGTTGATGACGAAGACGAAGAGAAAGAGAAGATAATTTATACATAGGTGTACTCGAGAGAGAGAGAGAGAGAGAGACGGTATAGAATTGAATAAAAAAAAGTGCACACTAATTACCTGGAATGGGCTGGTAGGTGGTCTTCTTCATCCACTCGTAGGGGCTTCTGCTCTGCCCGGGCCTGAGGGGCTGCTGTTGGGGGGTGACGCCGCCACCACTGGTATTGTTGTTGTTGGTGTTGGTATTGTTGTTGTTGTTGTTACCGTTTGGAGTGTTTGCGGTCGGTGTGGCCGTACAACCGGTCGCGACGATGCTACCGTTACTACCGTTCGGGGTACTCGGTGTCTCGGGGCTACTGAGTTCGCTGCCGCTCGCGGTTATCGGGGGACTGGGCATACCCGCCCCGACTATCACCCCCGGCTGCCCGCTGCCCTCGTCGCCGCTCCAATCAATCTGCGACTGCACCACCCCGCCGATCGGTAACTGCGCCTGTTGCTGCTGCTGTTGTTGGCTCAGCTGGTGCTGCTGGTAGACCTGGTGCTGTTGGTACTGGAGATAGTGGGCGTGCGGGTTCCAGAGATCGTGGCCATCGAGGTACGAGTGCTGCTGCTGCTGGGGGTGGTGATGATGATGATGGTGCAGCAGGTGGGGATGGTGCGGATGCAACTGGCCATAGCTGTACCAGGCGCTGCACTGTTGTTGTTGTTGTTGCTGCTGCTGCTGCTGCTGCTGCTGCTGCTGCTGTTGGTGCTGTCCGGGTAACACCTCGGGCAAAACAGTTTGCTGATGCTGGGGATCGGACACCACCAGCTGTTGTTGTTGTTGTTGCTGGGACTCGTCGGGAGCGGACAGCGGCGGGGATTGCTGCTGCTGATGGTCGAGGAGGGCCACCGGCGGGTGTTGGGGCTGCCTGTACATCGGCTGGTTGTAATACGAGACCATGTTACCGTCGATGTCCGCACTCATGTGCCCGACTGCTGGAGGGTCCTCGCCCTCTCCTCGACAACTGTCACACGGTCTTTTACGCACCAATGTTGTATTTTTTTTTTAATTTATGATAATAATAATAATAATAATAATATGTACTCTGGCTATTTATAGGGCTGTTGCGTGTGTCGACTACTCTCAAGCACTGTTTATATTCACGGGACGAATGGTCAAGCACCACTTAAAAATCAAACGCACATCGCGGCACACATAATTAATGAAAAACTGTGTTCTTCCGCAGCGAACGCGTCACTAGTACAAGTACTTGATACCCCGTACGGACGGGTTATACGATCGCAACGAGAAATCGGCGACTCGCCCGATCGAACTGCTGTCATGCACTACCGGTCCTTGTATACACACTCACCGCGGCTGGAAAACTGACGTATGGGCTGTACATGGTCTATGTGACACTTTTGTTGGGGCACTCTAGCTAGCACTGGCGGATAACTGAGGAGTCCGGGCAGCATTAGCCAGAGCGACTAGAGCTGTACTAGGGTCGTGCTCGTATACGCGGAGGAAGGGATGCTCGGCGCTGCCGTTCGGATAGGCTGCCGATTTGGCCCCGCCCCGGAGAGGACGGCTCGGCCGGCGTTGGCCAATGTGCTTCGGCCTGATGGCGTCGCTCGACTCACTTGTACGAGATTGCGATTGTGCGCATACATACACACTGGTGTGGATATGATATCTCCCGCGATTCTCTGTGTACTACGTATATCCGTACACGAAAATGCAAATGTGTGTTTGTGCTTATTTGCAAAAATTTTCCTCGTCCCGTTACATTATACCGTATACTTTTGCACCCAGCGTGCGGATGGTAGGTTTTTTTTTTCATACCATTCCCAATCCAAATTGAGATCGGTAACACGGACTACCGATTTTCAGCTCATTACATTATTTTCGATGCAGCTTAATTGTTTAGAAACTATTGCGCGTTTTGACCACTACATCACATTATGTACAGTTAACAATTCAAAAATGGCCAATAATTGTATATGGGTGCAATAATTCAAACGTGTCCCGTACACAGTGGTCATAACGGTGTTTATGTATTATATCCCGGTCGCACTTTTGCTCCAAGGCCCTGTATGTATACCACCGTGTACCCAGAGAGCAAATTACCCGACCTCTGGGTCTTATTTTTCAGACGTCGCTTTTGATGCCCAAAAAAGTAAGTAAGTATAAGTAAGTATAAATAAGATAATGTGTGTTGTCGTCGAGTTACGCCGACTACTTTTCTGTATAAAGGTACACCGTTTATCTGCTGGATAAGCCTCGAGCTCGACCTTGCATTGAGGATGATCCACCTGTTATACGTTACCATATAAATATCTACAGTTCAAGTGCACGGGTTGTCGTCGTATACGGACATAATAAAAATATTGACGTGCGTCAATAGTACAAAAATATGAAAACTTGCGCATTGCGCGTACAGTGTATATACTGTCGAGGACGCAAGTTTCCTTGTGCGTATAAGTTTGGAAAATGTTGTACCCTATATAATAATAATAATAATAATAGTAATGATCGGTGCAGCAGTGACCCAAGTATATATATATACGCGTTAATGTGCAACTTGTTTGGTTGTATAAATATTTTGTCGAAGCTCGCGCGTCCACGAATTTTGGAAGCACTTGCAGGACACACGCCTGGGATGTATCCTACGGTGGTGTTTGTGCGGAGAAAAAATTCCACGCGCTGGTTTTCTGCGACGAGAGGAGCGAGGTAACGGTACTTGGAGGAGAATAATAGAAATGGGGAAACGGCAGCTGCGCCCGTGCGACTTTAAGTGCGCCTCACCTACATGTATACACATACCTAGAGGATCGGCTGCAGAGAGTCATTTATATTGGCCCCGGCGTGCTTTCCTTTTTCCCCTCGCACTCCTACTTTTCCAATAATGCTCGTCTTAAGGCTGATATGGCGCATTAGACGTAGGACCGCCGGGGCTGGCTCAACGCTTCTCTCCCGGGGCGTTATATGGACGTGCGTGTGTACGTATAGGTATTTGAGAGGGCGAATTTCTCGGCTCTTGAAACAAAGGGTACACGCATACATATTGTATACGCGCTCCGGAGGAAAGAGAGCATAGGATTAAGACTGTTGTATGGTTGCAGGGCTGAGGGATGGAGGTTTGGCGGAAATGCGAGGACGCGTCGAAATTCTCGAAATGTCGTGAAACAGAGGAGACAATGTAACGTTTCTCCAATGATTTTTGCGATTCACGCCTTTTGGAAACCATACCATATATGACATCTCTGGGGATATGCACGCTTCTTGGGGGTACACTGAAATGCCGATCGCTATCCAAGTTTCTTGTACTTTGAAGCTTTCTCGTCACACGGGACTGTACGGCGATTCGAAAAATGTTTACCGCAAAGTCAGCTTCTGGAACTTTGTTTTCCCCAACTTTTAGAAATTCGTACGCGTACGTGCTTACGATACAGCGTTTAGAAACTTATTCTTTATCCGTACCTATACTCGTGACTCATGTGTCCAAGCTTGGTACAACCGAACGAGAAAATCCCGAGATTGTCTGAAACACTCGGCTTGTCCCGAAAACCTATAGCAATTTTTCAGTTGCCATTGAGATTTTGTTCACGTACTCTTCATAATCTTTTCAACAATGTTCGGAAGGGGGTATTAAAAAGCCAGCCGTCGTGAGACGTTGTTTAGGAAAACGAGAAGCGGCAGAAATTTTTTTCGGGAAACGGAGGAATTCCAGCCATGTTTTCGGAGTAACGGGATCTCCTTCTCTCTCCCGAGACTGCATGGGCGGGACTTGGAAAAAATTTTTCACGCGGGATTTTTCGAAAATAAGCACAGAGAAACCGAAAGAGGACTTGGACACGCAACGCAGACAAGTAGGCATCGCGCGCAGCGTTGCAGAAACAGATTCGCGCACACGCGCTCGAACTCTGCCGTGTACATATATATATATATCATATGCGTACACCGGATCATTTTATGGCCTCTTCTCAAACTTTCGAAACACCGCGCGTAAGTACATAGAGTCCGTTTGGAAGGCGTTGCGCTGTATAATGCGTTGGCTCGTTCGAGAATTGCAGTGTATCGTATGCGGATGAAAATAATTTTCTCGGCGCTCTTTCATAAATCAAAGCCACGCGAGCGCTTGTTCGATGCCAAAAATCTTGGCTCGGCTAAATCGAAATACGTGCAACAACTGTCTACGCATATTACCATAATACATGCCGATTTACGATGAATGCTTTTACACCCAGTTGTTCACTTTTGCGCACGGGAACACCCAAGAGGGAAAGATGGAGCAATATTTATCAAATATAAATGTTTCCGCGCGACGTTTGTACGAGACTGTTTGTATATAACTGTACCGATTTATGTTGATCGAACTCGATTGGCACCACTTGGCCGAACAGCCGTACACCTCGTCGACTCGAGGAACGCGAAACAGTCATTGACCTTCGGATAAAAGTGAGGACCCACCGGATACGAGTATTTTTTCGATTACTCGGCGACATGCCGACTGTATACTCCCAAGATTTTCCCAGTAAAAATAATGAGCCGTACTTGAAAATAAAACAAACTTTGCCCTCCAACATTTGTATCCTCGATTGTTATGAGTACAGTCGTGAAGAAAAAAAAAAAAAAAAAAAAAAAAAAAGAAAAAAAAAACTGCGATTCAAAGTGTTTGAAACGTAATAAAGCAATTGCGCCATAACAATTAGTCCGACTGGATCAAATGTAAACGAGTTGTACATCAAGCGCGTCGCAGATGATTTACACACTAGCAGCCGGCTGTTTAAAATGTTGCATGAAACCGCAAATGTTAGGGCATACACGTATAAACTTCAAAGGGCTTATGATACAAGACTGTTGGATGATGGTAAAGCTGTACGAGAAACAAAATAATCCTGTTTGCGGGAAACTTGAAAAGCGTTGGCTTGTAGCTCAGCGGTGGTCTCCCACTCGGTGCACTGTAAACAAACCTTCAACCGCGGCTCGGGTTAATTTATAAGATAATTGTGTTCGACAGTTGTATAGTGCGGCTTTACCCGATTGCAACCCTTTTCTCGCCAATTGGTACTTCCGTTCATATATTTCATATTGGCACCTTATAAATGCATTACTGTTATTGCAACTATTATATTATACACTCGGATCGTTAATCTCCACGGGCTGTTGACTCGTAAACGGCTGCTATTGTAACTAAAACTGACAATAAATGACATGGTCTCCGGCACACCAAATAATGACGATAAACATATTATTAGCAAATACATTAGTGGCTGCAGTATCAAGTTTATAATCAGGACACACGTGCGTTCGGTGCATGAAAAAAGTTGTTGCCGTATACACTGCTGGTACACCATATTGATGATCGTATACAATGTGTAACGTATAAAAGTAAATGGTTCCTCGATAAACAATCGATAAAATGTGGTCGATAATTAGGAAAAAAAAAAAAAAAAATCCCTTTTTGACCATTAACTGTGCATTACGACACGCGTAATAGTGTACCTACCTGTGCACGCGTAAGCCGTTTATATAACATATCAGCACTCGTCTATAACATTATTATATACGACGAGCGCGTAAGCTGCCGCATCGCATCCAAACTGTGGGTAAAGCAGCGCAAACCAATAAATTAAGCAGTTTAACGTCGTAAATAATAACCGGAGGTGCAATAGCGGCACCAGCATCACCGGCAGCGGTATAGATGGAGATAATACAGTAAGCGCTTTAGCGGGGGTTGACGACTCGCGCGCGTCAAAAGCTGTTGTATTGTTGTATATACATATATATATACATATACACGGGTAACCCACCTACAGGACAATTTTGCCATTTGTGCAATTTGTAATTATTGTTCGTGATTTCAAAGATATTGAGACTCGTACCGTGTATATATTATAATATGCTGTTGCCATTTTCCCTCACGAAAATAAGTTGTATCGCACGAGCGTTTCGAAAATTTCCTTCGAGAACGAAAAAAGAGGGAGAGAAGAGGAAAGCTGGCATAGAGTCCCAAAGAGAGTTACTTTCTCATTGCAGTTGGTATCAGTGTACCTGTATACTTGTGTGCACTCGTAAGCCGTAGCAAGTCCGCACGTTGGGCATGACGAGACCAAGGAAAAACTACTACCCGTGAGCATGCGTACCTATACCAATATAATATACCCGACGACGACGTGCCTAACGGTACTTTTGCCCTGCAATTAAGCAGTTAGAGCCAGACGAAAAATCACGCTCTGTTGGCCCGAAGATAGAAGGGGGCCCCTCATCTTTCCCTCGTGTA